AAGAAAGGGCTGTGTGTGTAGCCTAGTGGTAGAACACCACTGGTTTGAGTTCTAGTAGAGCTCCCACCCACCATAAAACAGGTTTTGAGCTTCCGTTCCTTTCCTTTTCTTACCCTGTAGAGATTGAAAGAGAAGGGGCATTTGGTAAAATCTAGCAGATTTCTTTTTTTCGTACCGGGGATCAAATTCAGAACCTTGTGCTTGTGAGGTAGGTGGCAGAACCACGGAGCTAAATCCCCAGCCCTCAGATTTCTTGGTTAGAAAAAAACCCTGGAAACCAGAGACAACTGACTTATTTCCCGATTTCGATAAAGAGGTTAATGTGGCGAGCCCCCCAGGATTAAGCCCATGCCTGGCAACCATGAAAGCCGTCGGTGGTGGTGTGGATGTTGCTGTATTTGTCCTTTGCAGTGGCTGCTGCGTTCTCCTGAGTGCCTGAGGCCTAGAGGCCTCAATTGGCAGAGCTGTGCCTTGAGCCCGGGAGCCGCCTAGTGGCTGACGGGTGTGGCCTCCCTGAGAGGCAGCACTGCACAGTGGCTCAGAGCCTCTGCCTGGCTGACTGTTGGGGACCCAGGCAGGACCCTCAGCCTGGACCCAGCGGGGTAACAGGTGGGCAGAGCTTGGTCCGCCTGGCCTGTGCCCTCCAGGGTGCTTCTGCCTGTCTCTGGATCCAGGCTGGGTGCCCTGTGGCCGCGGCCCCTCTGCTGGTGTGCAGCCCTAGTGGTTGGGGGCAGATGCGAGCCTTGAGGGGGGCCCATTATTCTGGGGCTTCCCCATTTCCTGTCTCACCTGATGCTCCCAGGACCAGGTTGGAGGTAGCATGAGCCCCCAGGTGCGGGGCGGCCACAGGGACGGGAGGCAGGCTGGGGAGGCTGGGGCCTCCCACTCACGTCTGATGGGTGGCGTCAAGACTTAAGTGAGGACATCTGGGAAGCTTGTGCAATGCTAGGTTGAATCCTGGGGCAGGCACCTGCCTGCCAAGTTCATTGGGTAGGGTAGGCTGGGTGTTAGCTCACTCAGCTGATAGGGCCATGGGTGCCCTTAGGGACCATGCCGTCAGCCAGCAGTTACCATGGCGGTTGTTGCAGCAGCCCAGACTCCAGTGGGCTCTCAGCTCCCTGGGCGGCTGGCCCTCTGCGAGCGGGCTCTTTCCCAGTGTCACAGGAACTGTGCGCGGGACCTGCGGGACAGGACTGGGCCTGTGCAGTGGGGAGACCATCCTGGTGGGGCCCAGGACCCCTTGTCCCCTGGGTTGGGACCCGAGGGCTGAAGAAGAGCTTGAGTGACCCTGCAACTTGCTCAGAGCTGCAGGGCAGGCAGCAGTGCAGGTGTGAGTGTGGTGTGGGGCCTTCCTGGGAAGATGCTGCCAGCCTGCGGTTTCTTGGAGGCCAGACAGGTCCGGGAGACCTGCAAGTCATCGTCAGACTGCGTTGAGGACCATGTGGACGCAAGCTCCAGGTGCAGACGTCCCCGGTTCTGTGGGACATGCCCTGGTGTTGGAATTGAGGTTCTTCTCCCCTCTCCCATAGGAGTTGTGTCTACTGTGGTCCCTGACTCTGCCCATAAGCTGTTTATCGGGGGTCTACCTAATTACCTGAACGATGACCAGGTGAGGCCCTCTCCTGCCTGTCCTCCCCTCCCCTGCTGGCCTTACTGGGCACTCATGGCTTCTTGGCCTGCTGCAGGTAAAAGAGCTGCTGACATCCTTTGGGCCTCTCAAGGCCTTCAACTTGGTCAAGGATAGTGCCACAGGGCTCTCCAAGGGCTACGCCTTCTGTGAGTACGTGGACATCAACGTCACCGACCAGGTGAGCCTGGGGGCCTGGCTGCCCGCCATGTCTGCCCTGTCCTTGCTGTTGCAGCTGGGGTGCCCTCCTGGGACGAGGTGGGAGGTGGCTGCCCCAAGGAAGGTCCTGCGCTTTGCGCCCGCTCCAAACTCACTTTTGCGGTCCCGTTTCCCCACCGATGCCTTGGTCTGGGGGAGGAGCCAGGCTCCTGGGCCTTGACTCCCCTCTCCTGTCCCCCTCCGGCCCCTGCCTGACACAGGCCATCGCGGGGCTGAACGGCATGCAGCTGGGGGACAAGAAGCTGCTGGTCCAGAGGGCGAGTGTGGGCGCCAAGAATGCCACGCTGGTGAGCCCCCCGGCACGTTACTTTCCATTGGCTAGCGGGCCCGGGTGGGGGCGGGAGGGGACAGGTGTTCTAGGCTCTGTCCCTGTTCTCCCGGGAGGGGTGTGGGCGTAGAGGAGCTGCCCCTGGGCAGGTGGGCATCCGAGGGGTTCAGGCCTGAGCGGCGGGAGGCTGGCTGGAGCCCCTGGTAACTCCCCTGCCTCCCCCTGGACCCACAGAGCACCATCAACCAGACCCCCGTGACCCTGCAAGTGCCGGGCCTGATGAGCTCGCAGGTGCAGATGGGCGGCCACCCGACCGAGGTCCTGTGCCTCATGAACATGGTGCTGCCCGAGGAGCTGCTGGATGATGAGGAGTATGAGGAGATCGTGGAGGATGTGCGGGATGAGTGCAGCAAGTACGGGCTGGTGAAGTCCATCGAGATCCCCCGGCCCGTGGATGGCGTGGAGGTGCCCGGCTGTGGAAAGGTCAGCACTCACCCTGGCCTGTGTCTCGCCGGCCACAAGTGGGCTCCGCGTTCCTCTCCCCGCGGGACTGGTGTGTGTGAGCGCGGCGGGAGTGCACACCTGCAGTCCCAGCACTGTGTGAGGCCCCCTGCATCCACACAGGCAGGCTCGGGTCCCTGGCATCACCATGTGGGTGGCGGCGGTGAGGGCGTGGCTGGCATTCACCCGTCCACCTGGTTGGTGTACCGATGGCGCTTGTGCTGTGCCCAGCGAATGAGCGAGCCAGCATTCTGCCATGAACAGGGCCCCCAGTCCTGGGGCAGTGCAGGAGCAGCCCGGCAAGCCTGGCCAAAGTTGGGGCTGAGGTGTTCTGGGGAGCAGGGTGAAGAGGCCCTGGCCCTGGCCCTGGCATCCGCTGAGCTGTTACCTCACTGCGTCCTGCTTGTGTTTTTAGGTTTCATATTAGGGCTTTTACAGACCTACTCAAGACTGATAATGGTACACCCCATCACCCACCTATCATTGCCATTTATTCAGCTTAATTTGTTTTCTTTTTTGGTACTGGGGATCAAACTCTCAGGAATGTGTGCTTGCCAGGCAGACGGGGTGCCACTGAGCTACATCCCCGGCAACTCAGCTTATTCTTGCCCCCACTTTTTTGTAATACTTGAAGCATCTCAGGTGTATTTCCTCTGAGGTACTCCGACATACTTCTCTGTAATTTCTCACCTACTGACCTGGGCCAGATTGTTATTTGGAGATTGGGTCTCGTAATGTAGTTTAAACCGGCCTTGAACTCACTAGTACCCCAGGTTGGCTTGGAACTTATATGGTGATCCTCCTGCCTCAGCCTCCTAAGTGCTGGGATGACAGGTGTGCGCCACTGTGCCAAGCCTCTGGGCCGGTTGACTGCATGGAGGTTGGTGCTGTGCTGTCAAATACTGAGCTGCACTTGTGGCTTCCACTCGCTGGTTGCCAGCAGGGCTATTCCTCCCTTGTTGACAACTCAAAACTGTGTGGCACTCAGTGTCCCATGGCGACATGTTTGCCCCTATTTGAGGGCCACTGCTCTAACTTGAAAAATTTGTATGAACTTTTTTATTTTAACAAAATCACAACATTAATAACATTTGATATTCCCGTTCTAGTCTATTACTGTCTCAAAAATGGCTTGTTTTATGTAGGTCCAAATAAGGTCCTTTTTTTTTTTTTTTGGTACCGGGGATCGAACTCAGATCCTTGCTCTTGTGAGGCAGGTGCTGGAACCACTGAGCTAAATCCCCGGCCCAAGGTCCTTGTTTTGAGTTTGGTTACAAAGGTTTTTTTTTGGTTACAAAGTTCTTTTTTTTGTTTTTTTGAGACAGGATATTGTTATATAGCCCCAGGCTGCTGTCTTTTTTTTTTTTTTGTACCAGGGCAGGCGGCAGAACCACTGAGCTAAACCCCCGGCCCCTCCCTTTTCTTCCTTAAGTGAAGCTGTTTGTGGAAGACTAGTGTCACCCTTGTGTGGGATTTGCCGAGTTGGGTCTCGCGCGTCCTGGTGGGTCAGGCGGGCGTGGCCCCAGCCTGCTCTTGTTCGCAGATCTTCGTGGAGTTCACCTCGGTGTTTGACTGCCAGAAAGCCATGCAGGGCCTGACCGGCCGCAAGTTCGCCAACAGAGTGGTGGTCACCAAGTACTGTGACCCCGACTCCTACCACCGCCGGGACTTCTGGTAGAGATCTGGCGGCGGGGAGGCGGCGGCGCGGAGGCTCCTCCCGCACGCCACCCTCTCCCCAAGACGGCGGGAGCGACGCGGCGACAGCCCGAGGACGGCCGGCGGCGACTGGGATGGCAGCAGCGGGGCGGGCGGGGGGGACGGGAAGTGCGCGGGCCCACGCGGGACGCGCAGCAGGCGGCGGGGTGCCGGCGGTGGACGGACGGCTCCCCCTCCCCGGTAGGAACAGCGCGTCCGTCCCGGCCCGGCCGCTGGGTTCCCCTCGGCGCCCGCCCTCCCGTCAGTCCCGTTTCTTACGTAGTTGGCCCCTTAGTCCCCGTCCGCCCCGCCCGCCTGGTCCTCTCCTCTGTGGCAGTTTCATATTTGCTAAGACGAATTTGCTCATTAAACATTTTGTTGTATTTTACTTTGCGGAGCCGCTCCGTCTGTGTGTGCGCGCTGTGCTGCGAGTCGTGCCCCGGGAAGGCTGCGTCGCGGTCCCGGGTCCTAGCTGGGCTCCCTAGGCTCCCACCCTTCTCACGGCGCGGTCCGCTGGGCAGGCTTTGCAGAACACGGCAGTGGACGGAAGTGACGAAGAGGCCCTTGTGACGTTAGCTCTTGTGCCGGAAGTGATGCCGCCCGGACGGGTTTGGCTGCGGAAGCCGGAGCTGCCGAGGCCGGGTGCGGCGCACTGGGCGGGTCACGCGATTACTTCCGCTTCCGGTCCGTCGTCTTCGGTTGCTTCCCGTTCGCTCGGTGCCTCCCCTCCCCCGCTCGGCTGTCCGTGCCCCTCTTGGGCGCCGGGGCGGCGGGGCCGTCGGCGTGCGGCCCTCCGCGCGTCCGCACGTGCGCCCGTGCAAGTTTCCGCCGCCCGCACCCCGGCGCGCGTCCCTGACACCGAGTCGGAGCGGGGGCAGGGGTCTGACCGCCATGACCCCCCGAAGCCCCGCGTGAGGGGCCGAGGTGAGCGCCGGCCCGGCTTGTGTGGAGCTGGGCGATCGGCCTCTGTGGCGAGGCCTGGGCTCCGGGGTCGCTGGTTTTCAGCCGTGGTCTCCGGTGTCGGCCTTTGTGCCTGCGCCTGGCCGTGCTCCCCTGGCCCTTAACCTGTCTTAACCTGCGGGTCTGTATCTGTCCGCGTCCCGTCCCGTCCGGTCCCCATCCCCTTCCCCCGCGGGTCCCCGCTGTTGCTGTGGAGCGCCGCCCCGTGCGTTTCCAGGGTTTCACCGAAGGGTTTGGAGATAGGGGTGTCCTGGGGCTCTTTCCATCCCTGTCCTGTTTCGGCGTTTGCTTGTCAGGATAGGGCCTGCCTGTCTTCCGGGTTGGTGTCTTCCTTTCCCTGACCTCTCCTTCGAGTGCATATCTTTGCCCTCGTCTGCACGTCTCGTTTTTGTCCTCATTCTTGTCGCTTCCAGCCTCCCCAGTTCCTTTCCAGGATTGTTCGCCGGATCTCCAGTATGCCCCTTTCCTCCAGGTTTCTGAGTCTCTGGTGAGGTGTTAAGACCCCCGGCTCTGGGGTCAGCCGCTGCTTGCCATGTTACTGGGCAGGCGACTTCTGTCTCCAGAAGCTCGGTTTCCTGTCTGACGTGGAAGTGTTCACAGCCCTTCCTCGCAGGCTTCTGCCGTCCAGAGTGAGGTGTGTCTGTGGAGCGCCTCTCCACATCTGGTGTGGAGGGTGCAGTTGGGGCCTCTGGGCTTTGAAATGCTTTAGAGATTTTGTTTCATTCAGTAAGCATTTGATATTAGTCCCTTGAGTTCCCTTTAGAGAATTTTGCCATATCAATTGTATTTGCTTAACTTAATAATTCTCTTTGGATCAATTTAAATTGAAAACCAGCCTCATTTTAAGAAGTATTTATGAAATCTTGGCTTTGATGTGTTTGTGGCATAGTTTTTCCTAACACTTGAAGTAAGTATGTGGTATTAAGATAGCCCGTCTTCGAATGCCACTCAGTGTGCTGCTTTTCTCTGATAATCATAGCAGGCAGTGTTATTGAGTGCCTACTATCTGTGGGGCACATAGCCAAGCACTCTATGTACCATGGCATTTAATCAACAAGCTTGCCAGGTAGGAGTTCTTTTCTTTCATTTCAGAGTTAAGGAGGTTTCATCTCAGAATCTCAAGGAGGGTTTGCTTTGCTGGTAGCTGAAGCGGCCAAGATTTGAACCTAAACATTGTGTTCTTTTGCATTACATCCCATTTTTCTTGTTTTTTATTTCTCAGGCCCAAGTGTTTTTGTTTTTTTTTTCCCATTGTTTCAAGGCCTCTGTCTTTCTGTCTACGCCTTTCTATCTTCCCATGTGTTGGCCCACCCTGCCAAGGGTTCTCTGTGATTCTCCCCTCTTCCCCTCATTCCTTTTCTTGTCAGGTCTTGTGTTTCCTGTATTTGTGACAGTGTTTATTTGTCTTGGGGGGTCTCGCTGGACCTGTCTTGGGACCATGGCCACTCTTTCGCACCTGGTAACGGCTGAGTTGAAGGCAGTGGCAGCCTGTTTCATTCACTCACCTCTTGCCCAGGTGTGGGTCATGGTAGGGCTCTGAGTCTCACTCCACACGTTGTTGGAGAGGTGTGGATGGGTGGTCTGATCTCTCTGAATGCCCAGGCTGCTTTACCTGACAGGCGTGCGTTTCTGGTTAGAGGCGGTGACCTTGCATCTCCTTCCATGTGGGGGCTGTGAATCAGAGTTAACGTGTGTGAAGCACTCGGGGTGCCCAGCATGAGATAGGAGCTGTGGAAGTGCCTGACGGTTTCCCCATTTGTTTGATCCTTGCCATTCTGTTTCTTTGTCATCAGTGTCAGCAAAAACTAACAGGTTAATTTAAAAGTGTAAGTTTTGAAGAGCTCAAGTGGGTCTTGTGTTGCAGCTGCCATGCCACTCTCGGGGTGACTTTGATGGAGCCATTTAAACTCGAGAGCCCAGTGTCTGCTACAGTGTTAAATGAGATAGTGTATGCCTACTGCCTAGGGAGTGCCTGGCACTTGGCTGGGACCCATCACTGGGGCTGCTGTGCTCCTTAACTCTCCTCCCTGCCTGTGGCTCGCATAGTCCCCAGTTGTCCTCCACCTCTTGCTGCCCTGGGACACCTCCCTGTCTTCCTGTCATCCTTGCTTGCTGTCCCTCGTGTCCTCATTCTGCCATGGACACCCCATTCCACAGTCTTGCTCTCCTTCTCCTCTTCTTCCTATAGTGTCTATTGAATGACTTTTCCAGGCCAGCAGTTCTATAGGGAAAAGCTGGGTCCAGACAGATGAGGTTTCTGTCCTCATGGGGCTGTGGGTTAGCCTTAGATACAGAATTGGGCACAAGAGTTTAAACCGACAAGGGTGACAGTCTACCGACGAGCCCCGCCCCCCGCCAGGGATGGTGAATGTGGTGTTGGGGTGTGCATCTGGGAAGTGAAGCGGAGTCCCTGAGGAAGAAGTAGGAAGAGCTTGACCTTAGCGGGGCTGGTCAGGTATGCGGCTGGCCAGCCCTCACCGTGTGCCTCGTGTTTGCCAGTGCTCGGTTCCCTGGATTATAGTACAGGACCTCATTCGACAGAGGAAAACTGAGCCGCAAGAGCTCGAGGCCTGCCCAAGTCAGTCCAGCTAAGGAGTGGCTGATTGGCATGGGGACCTCTGGTGTGACGGGTGTGCCTGTGACCTGCCACTGCCTCTTCTGGAAGGGGCCAGGCACATTTGAGGAACTGAAAGATGGATGCGGTAGTTTTCAGATGGAGGTTAACAAGGGCCCATGCCTCCTAGGCCATGGTCAGCATCTCGTCCTTGCCTTTGAGGGCCAGTGGGGATTCTCCACAGGGGCAGCTCAGGCTCGGGCTGGCCTGCATCTCCTTTGTGTTTCCAAAGACCTCCTCTCCCCTCAGATGTGGTGATCTACCAGCGCTTTGTGTGGACAACCCCTGTGATTGCCATACCTCTGGACGCCCCCGGGGGCCTGAGCCCCTCAACTTCACCACCGGCACCATGTCGACCTCATCACTCCGGCGCCAGATGAAGAACATCGTCCACAACTACTCAGAGGCCGAGATCAAGGTCCGAGAGGCCACAAGCAATGACCCCTGGGGCCCGTCCAGCTCCCTCATGTCGGAGATCGCTGACCTCACCTACAACGTGGTGGCCTTCTCGGAGATCATGAGCATGATCTGGAAGCGGCTCAATGACCATGGCAAGAACTGGAGGCATGTCTACAAGGTGAGCACTGCTGTGGGCCTGGACACGGGTGGCTCCGGGCTCTGGGCGAATCTCCAGCCCCTTGTCCCAGGCACGAGGAGTTCAGACAAAAGGCTGCGCCCAGGGCTGTACATGGCAGCTCCAGAGACAGATAGAGCTTGACAGAGACAGAGACAGAGACAGAGACAGAGACAGAGACAGAGCTTGCTGCTTGCCAGGAGTCAGGACGTGGTGCTGACAGAGGGTAGCATGGACGCCTCCTGTGTCTCAGTTCCGTGGTGGTGGCTGTGCGCTGTAGGACTTGGCCGCCACTCAGGCTGTTGATTAAAGAGTAGTTCTACTGGGTGTCAGTTAGACCCTGATTCACAGAAGGAAAGAAGACTTTACCTCAGGACATCCACATCACTTCTAGTCACAACTTCGGGATAGTGCCCTGTGTGGAGCGGTTGTCATCATTTACTCTCCAGTTCCCTGTTGATTGCTTTGTCCACATGCTTTGCAGTGATTTGCTTTTTCAAGGAAGGGTGCCGTGGAAATCCTTGTGTGCTTGCCACTTTCCAGAGCTGGAGTTGTGGGGCCACAGGGCGTGTGGGCCAGTAGTTTGTTAAATGTGCCCAGGGTCCTCACCCTGGCCATAACTGGCATGAATCAACCGCATGCTGCATGCCAAAGGTGGCCGTGCAGGACTCTGCATGCGGGCCGGGGTCCAGTGCACCCCCCTGGCTGCTTTTGTTTCTGCTCTTCTGGCAGAGTAGCTGAGGGTGCAGGCTGGGCCTGGTGGCTGGTTACATGCCCAGGGAAGCCCTGCTCTTCTTCCACCTCTCCTGAGTATCTACAGAAGGCCCACTGTCCCCACTGCCCTGTCTGGCTGATCTTGGAGACTTCCTGCCAAGGTGGGGTGGTTCCCTCTCCTCCAGAAGAGACGTGCATCCAGAGACAGGGCACCTCCTGCAAGTGCGAGCAGCAGGCTGAGGCTGTTTGCTCCCATCCGACACGCCAAGGTTGGGTCAAGGCTGGGCCGACTCACAGCAGAGCTGGGGTGGATACTGGTCACTGTAAAGGACGGGCTGCTGTCAGTCCTGCTGAGAGTTGGGGAAAGCCCCGGGGTGGCAGGCATGTCCCTCTGTGGAGGCCGGGCAGGAGGGTCCTGAGGACCCTGGACCTTGCTGACCAATGATCTGGGGGTGCGGAGGACAGTGGGTGGCCGGTGGACAGGGTGAGAGTCCTAGGGGTGTGCCATGCTATTGGCCAGGGTGGCACATGGGGCAGGGAAGTGGCTGGGGAGGTGGCAGGGCTCTGGTGCCAGGAGGGCCAGGGTGCTTCGGAGGGTGATGGAGAGTCTGTGCCAGGCTGCATCTTGCATCCGGTGCGTTCCTGGCTCCTGTGGGTTGGCCCTGTCTGATGGTGCCGAGGACCCGGCCCCTGCCCAGCCTGGAGGCACCTCCTGGACAGGAGGGGCCAGATGTGGTCCCCTTAGAGGTGGGGCGTCATGAAGCAGGGGCTGTGGAGAGCCCTGTGGCCTCAGTCAGGAAAGGCTCCCTGGAAGAGGCTGCAGGCTGTCGTGGGACCCACCTCACTCTTCTAGCCCGATTCCTTTAGAGAAATTTTGAGAGATGTACTGAGACATAATTTGCCTACAGTAAAATCTACTTTCTAGGCACAACCCTGTGGGTTCCGAGGTGCATGTTGTGAGCTGTTATCATAGTGAAGGCAGGACGTTTTAGTCACCCAGAATCTCCCACTCTGGGGACCTTTGCAGTTTCCCCCTGTGCTCTGGCCCCACCTGGCAGCCCTGCTCCGTTTTGTCCCTGCCGTTGCAAGCCTCGGCGTGGCTGTGGCTGTGGGTCCTGCTCACTCTGAGCCCCCGGTCTGTCAGGTGTGAGGGAGGGTCTGGGGTGCCCCCATCTCACCGTGGGTGGAGCCTGTACTTGGCCCTGAGGGGTTGTCGTGTGTGTGTGGAGATGGAGCAGGGCTGCTGTCTATGTCTGGTCACGCCCCTCTGAGCTTCACAGTCCCCTCCGAGAGTGTGTGACAGGGATGGAATCCCAGAGAGTCTGGGCTCCCCCAGCCCTCAAGAGCGCTGAGCCCACCTGAACTGACCAGAGAGAGGACTCTGCGTCCCGTTGTCCTCACTCCACTGTCGTGTCGGGTCCCTTCTGCCCCAGGTGCTGTGTTGAGCAGGGGCAGTCTTCTCTCTGGTGGACAGGGATGCCAGGCCTGGAGCTGGCTCGCTGCGGGGCCCGTTGCTTTGGAGCCCATGAGTTCCCACCAAGGCCCTGCCTGGTGACACTAGATCTGGTCGCCCCTGTGGTGAAAGAGTACGTGTCTGAGGGTGTGGCGGGCCTGGTTCCTGCATGTCCTGCTTGTGGCCCTGGGGACAAGTCTTGAGGAGCAGGGGCCAGTGTTCCGTGGCCCTGTGGCTCTGTGTGGTGCACAGTGCCTCGCCCCATCCTCAGAATTACCCACGAAGGAGGTGCTTCTCCTCCTTTTCCTTGGTTTTCTAGGTGCCAGGTGGAGAAGGGGAGGCAGAGGTAGCTCAGGGCTACCTGTTCTGTGGTGGAGCTGGAGTGGAGCCCCCAGCACCCTTTTGACCTTGGGTTGTTCCCCAGTTTCTCCAAGGACTGCAGAGTCTCTGGTTTTATCTTAAAACAAGTCAGCAGAGTACAGGCCATGGGCCAATCCCGTGCTCTGCCTGCTTTTGTAAATAAGGAACACAGCCAGGCTGCTGAGTAGTTGAGACAGAGATTGGCCTGCAAAACCAAAATATTTATTACCTGGCCTGTTACAGAAAGCATGCTGGCCTGCTCAGACGTTGTCTGTGATGTCTCAGGATGTCCTTGACAAAGCTGTTTGAAGAACAAACAGGCACTGCTGCCTTCTCCAGTTGCCCACTTTTAAAATGAGGGTTTGGGGTTTTATTGTGGTGTGGCTGACCAAGCCGGGCTGCACAGCCTGGTCCGTGTTGGGATGTGTGCCCCTGGGAGCCCTGGCTCCGAATGGGGAGGGAGCTCCCTCAGGACGCTCTTCCCCCGATGAGCTGTGGCCACTGTCCGGGTAGGCTTTGGGTCTGGCCGCTGCTTCCTACAAGGCCAGCATTGACCTGGGTGGTGCGGGTAGCAGCTGCTCGTGGGTTCACTTGTTTCCTTGCTGTGTAGTTGGCAGCTCGCTGTGTGAGTGTGCTGATGTAGATTCATGTGCCTACGGATGATACTGGACTGCTTCCAGGTTCATGTAACTGCATATCCAAAGTCCAGAGCACTCTGAAAACAGAACTTTTTGATAATCTGTTAAGCCCATGTGGACAGAGGTGGGGTCACGGCGTTGTCCTGCTCTCGTGATGTTGGCATCCCTTTCCCGAGCCACAGCTCTCGCATGGGGTGTGACGATGCCTGGAAGTGGCTTTGCTTGACCTGTCCTCCCACGTGGAAACCCTTGCAGGGCCATTGAAGTCTAGCTTGGCTTCCAGATGCAGTGCTCTCAGCACTCCTGGGAGAGCCTCGCCAAGCCTGGGTCTGGCTTCAGGAGTTGGGAGATGGGAGGGCCTGCAGCACTTACTGCACATCGCACTGCTGAGGCCCGGTGTGAACAGAGGCCGCTGCCACCTCCCCAGCTCTGCTCTCTGGGAGCCCTGCCGTCACCCACAGGACCCCAGTGTGCCCTCCCTGGGAACCATGGCTGAGGCCTCCTGCAGCTTGAGGGCCCAAGGCCCTGCACCTGCTCTGGAGATGGTTAGCCTGGCGATGTTCTTACTTCTGGCCTGTTTGAGCAGGACCTCATCCGCTTGTCACAGTGGGGCTCCCTCTCTGCCTGACTTCTTACTTGGGGTGTTCGTGTGCTCCTGGCCCAGGTGGGCCCGGGCGCCTCGCTGCGGCAGGTGTGCTCTGGCTCGGCCCTAGAACTCTCCGGGCCCACTGCGAGCTGTGGCTCTCAGGAGTGTGACGTGTTTTACACTGGGGAACAGAAAGAAGGCAGTGACCCGACCAGAGTAGCTTGGTGTGGCCTCGTTACTCCGGGTTCCCATTGGAAGGACATGAGCAGGCATGGTAGCAGTTGCGCCGGCCTTTTAGTGTTCCTCGGAGATGGCAGAGCTCGTGTGCTGGCTGTCTGCCCCCTCGGAGTGATAGTTCAGCAGCACTGGGCCACCCGCTGTGCCAGCGATCCCACCTCTGTCTAGAGGGGGAGGCAGAGCTCGTGCCCGCTGGTGACCCTGCTGCCCGCTCTGCCTGGGGTCCCGTTCCAGGCACTTATTGTCTGAGGGACACACCCTGCATGGCCCTCTGTGTCAGGGTCTCTGAGCACTGCGTGCTGTGGCCACATCGAGCTCCCCTGTGGACAGGATGGCTGGGTGGGGGACTGGAGCCATGGTGGCTGCTGAGGCAGGCCCGAGCGATGGCCCTGTCCCCACCTGCAGGCCATGACGCTGATGGAGTACCTCATCAAGACGGGCTCGGAGCGCGTGTCGCAGCAGTGCAAGGAGAACATGTACGCAGTCCAGACGCTGAAGGACTTCCAGTACGTGGATCGTGACGGCAAGGACCAGGGCGTGAACGTGCGCGAGAAGGCCAAGCAGCTGGTGGCCCTGCTGCGGGACGAGGACCGGCTTCGGGAGGAGCGGGCCCACGCACTCAAGACCAAGGAGAAGCTAGCCCAGACGGCCACAGGTGAGTCTCACTGGTGCCCTGCCCTGCCCTGCCCAGACCCTGCTCCGTGGCGCGCTGTGTGTGGCCCCTGCCGCTGGGCCCGGTGCCGTGGGCCCTTGCTCACCCAGTGTGCCCAGTGCCTTCTCAGTTGTGTGCAGACCTGGGCTTGGGGAGCTGCAGGTGGGCATTCTGCTTGAGACCCGGGGGGCTGTGGAGGGAATGTGAGGGGGTATGCAGGCTGGTGCCTGGGGGGCCCCTCCAGGAGAGGATAGAGCAGAGGCCAGCAGCTTGGTGAGGGCTGGCGGGGACCCAGCCTGCAGGTCCTACAAGGCCTTCAGGTCTGGTTTCTAGGGGTTGTTGATGTCCTTCCTAGGTGGTGACCTGTATTTAAAAAGATCGTAAATAGAGTGGTGGGCAGGACATGCCTGTCACCTAAGCAGGGAGGATGCTCGGGATGCTGGCTGCAGCAGGGACTGGTAGTGGGAGGGGAGCTGCGGTGTCAGAGTGGGGTGGATCCGGTCCTATGGAGGGAGTGGGGCTGTGACCCCAGAGGCTCTGGCCTTCGACCTGCTGCTTCAGTGCAGCACATTTGGGGTCAGTGCTAGCTTCCACCTGGAGATGGGCCTCAGCAGTGTGTGGGGCCTGCCCAGGACACCATCGCCGGGCTCGTGTGGCACCTCTGCTGGCCCCAGAGTCAGGTGGCAGGCATCCCCAGCTGCACGAGTGAGCCTGGGCCTGCCCTGGCCTGCACCCTCCCACCTCGGACCCTGAAACTGGAGCCTGTGTGGTCCTCATGTGCCTTAGTGCGTTTGCATTCTGTTCCTTCCCCAACCATTTAAAATGTATGGGCAGAGCCTTGGCCACGGGCAGTGGTCTGCTGACCCTGTCCTAGAGCAAGCTGCAGGGGAGCTGCAGGAGTCCCATGGGGACAGGGACAAGGACTTGAAGGGTCAGGGCCTCAGGCAGAGGTTTGACAATGAGGCGGGAATCCCAGCACTCGTGCACTGAGGACACTGCTCTGGTCTGGCCCAGGGCTGGCCTGACCGGGCACAAGCAGGGACCTAGGAGAGGGTGAGTGGGCACAGGAGCCCAGGGAGCACAGCTTGCTTTGGGGGTTGGGGCTGAAGCCAGGGGGCGGGGTCTGCTCTGGGGGCGGAGCCCAGGCAGTGCCCTGTGTCCCACCGAGGGAGGGGCTAAGAGGGGCTTCCCTGCTGCTGGGCCCCAGGATTCCTTGTCCACGCTGTCCCTTACCTGGTGGAGCCTGGGTCCTGCAGTCTGGATAGATGCTGTCCTCCTACCCCTGAGGGAGCCAGGGCCTCCTGGGCCCTTCAGGGATCTTCCATAGCCTGAGTGGCAGGGGAGGAAGGGCTCGGCCCCTCCTGGCCTCCCACGGGTGGGGCTGCCTTTGCCCCGCAACCCGCCCCAGCCCCTCCCCAGGCCTGGCCAGTGCCCCGTGTTCTGTCTTACGTTCTGCCGTCATCCCAGCCTCCTCGGCAGCCGTGGGCTCTGGGCCCCCACCTGAGGCCGAGCAGGCGTGGCCACAGAGCAGCGGGGAGGAAGAGCTGCAGCTGCAGCTGGCCCTGGCCATGAGCAAGGAGGAGGCCGATCAGGTAGCCCCTGCAGTGCGGGCTCAGCCCGGGTCCTGCCATCCTGTCTCCACGCCCTGTTCGCCGCCGCCTCTTCACGCTGCCCTCCTCCCCTGCTATCCCTGGCTCCTTTCTGGGAGCTGTCCTGCCCACCCTGCCCTCCGTCTCTGCCAGTCCCTGCAGGTTTGGGGACCGCTGCCCCTCTTTCTCTCGGGCCCCGTCGGACCTCTCTCTCTTGCCTGCCTCTCCGGCCGTGGCTCCGGCTGACCCTCTCCCGCCCCTCGTACTCTCTCCCCCAGCCGCCGTCCTGCGGCCCCGAGGACGACGTCCAGCTCCAGCTGGCCCTTAGTTTGAGCCGAGAGGAGCACGATAAGGTCAGCGTGGCCTCCCTGCTGTCCCGGGCTCAGCCCTTCCTGCGGGGTCCTCACGTCCCGCCCTCAGCACCTGGAGCGAGCGGCAGGAGCTGGCAGCTCGGAGGCCCGCGGCAGGCGCCCTGGCCGCCTGCTCTCCCCGCCCCTTGCGGCGCCCAGGCTGCCGTGTGCCTCCCCGCCTCCCACCCAGCCTGACCCTGGGCGTCCTCCCCATCGCATTCGTCCTGCTTCACATGTGCGCCTCATTCGAATCGTCATTCGCCGTGGGGGGCAGCGCTGTGCGGGCGCCTGGCCCTGCCCTGACTCTGTGCCCGCCGCACCTTCTGGCTGCAGGAGGAGCGGATCCGGCGCGGGGATGACCTGAGGCTGCAGATGGCCATCGAGGAGAGCAAGAGGGACACGGGGGGCAAGGAGGAGGTGAGCAGGCACCCAGCCCCGGCTTCCCGCCCGGCTTCGCTGCGGCTCAGGGCTCAGGCAGTTCTGTCATTGAGTCAGGGCCCGGCTCACCCTCGGCTGGCTGCACTGTGGCCTCCGTGGTGCTCCAGTGTCTCTGAGTGCCGTAGGTCCTGCTCGCTCCCAGGGGAGGCAGGGCGGAGGCTGTGGTGCTGGGGTCACCGCTGGTGACCAGCGAGGCTGCTGGCTGGCTTTTATTTTAATTTGTGGTACTGGGTGAAACCCAGGGCCTTCACCCTGAGCTGCATCTTCAGCTCTTCTTTGATTTTCATTTTGATACTGGGTCTCACTAAGAAGCCCAAGCAGGCCTTGAACTCTCGATCCTCCTGCCCCAGTCTCCCAGAGTGTGGGGATGCTAGGTGTGTGCCACCACGCTGCTGAGGGGAAGCTTTCTCAGTGACGGAGTGGTGGAGCCCTCTGCCCGGCGGGGCCTGGCTTTCCTCTGCCTGACGTGGGCCCTGCAGTCTTAGAGACAAGACTCTGGGAGCCCGTAGTGGCTGGGGTGGGGCCGGTGGGCAGGGCCAGCCAAGGGAGGTGTGGGGTCGGGGTGACTGTCCTTGCCTGGGCCGTCATTGGGCTGGGGACGCACGTGGATGGAGTGGTGGGCCGAGGGCTGTGTGGTGTCCGCTGTCCCGGGCCATGGCCCAGCCCTCCCTGGCCGCACGGGTGCTGTGGTCATCTCCGACGTCTCTCCAGGTCTGCCCTGATGCTGCTCCTCTCTCTCCCTCCCCCCTCCCCCACCCTCCCTC